AGATTTCTCTTTGCCCTTCCCAAAGATGCTACTTTCTCGAAAGCTGCTCTGACCCTTTTCAGCCCAGTCTGGTGGCTGGTGGTTACACGGTCATTTCCAGCAAATCACCGCTTTGATTGCTTACGATATTTGTAGTCCTTAAAACCCACTTTTTAGAATTTAAATGCAACGTTTTATTTTAAATGGATTAATAGCGTGGCCTGCAAAACGCATCATCCCTTCACATTCGATTCCAAATGGGCTTACTGCAAAATAAAAGGAAAAAAGCTTATTTCAGCCAGATTTTTAAAAATATGTGGGTAAACCTCTCTCAGTTTTTCCCCTTGCTGAAGGTGAGCCCCGAGTGGAGCGGGAGAGGAGGAGGTCACCTTTCGGGATGGGTTGCAGACAAGATGTCCCCATGGTGCCACCACAGGGTGGAGATGTTCTGCTGAACATTGAGTTGGCACTTGCCCAGGCTGGTCCAAGGGGATCCAGGAGGGCGCAATGGCAGGTTCTTTGGGCAGCACAGTGGGCGCTGCCACCCGGCCCCGCGCCAAAGACACATCCGCCAGTTTGAGTCCATCCATCTTTGGCATTGAGGTTATTTTTGAGATTTGCTCTGCAATTGCTGAGGCTGGGAGCTGCACAACAGGGTCTCGGGCATGACACCATGGTTGCCCTTCCTATTTCCATGGAGAGCTGGAGGGAAGTCAAATGGCTCACTTACAGAATCATAGAATGGTTTAGGTTGAAGAGTACCTTAAAGATCATCTAGTCCGATCTCCTGCCATGGTCAGAGACACCTCCCGCTGGACCAGCTTGCTCCAAGCCCCCTCCAACCTGGCCTTGAAACCCCTCCAGGGATGGGGCAGCCACAGCTTCTCTGGGCAACCTGGGCCAGGCTCTCACCACCCTCACAGCAAAGAAGTTCTTCCCCACATCTCATCTCAATCTCCCCTCTTCCAGTTTAAAACCATTCCCCTTCATCCTATGGCTCCCCTCCCTGATCCAGAGTCCCTCCCTATCTTTCCTGGAGCCCCTTTAGGGACTGGAAGGGGCTTGAAGGACTCCCTGGAGCCTTCTCTTCTCCAGGCTGAACCCCCCCAACTCTCTCAGCCCCCCCTCCCAGCAGAGGGGCTCCAGCCCTTTGAGCATCTCTGTGGCCTCCTCTGGTTCTGCTCCAACAGCTCCATGTCCTTCTGCTGTTGGTGGCCCCAGAGCTGGAGGCAGCACTGGGGGTGCCTCCCCAGAGCAGAGCAGAGGGGCAGAATCCCCCCCTGGCCCTGCTGGCCACGGGGCTGGGGATGCAGCCCAGGGTGCGGGGTGTTTCTGGGCTGCCAGCAGACGTTCCTGGGTCACGTTGAGCTTCACATCCACCAACTCATATGTACACTTTCCTCAATAAGAGCCCGATGGCACTTCTTTATGACACTTTTTCACTTTCACATACTTTGTACAATTGGAGGAAATTTTCCTCCTGCGCCATGGCTGGACACGCCGTGGTCTTGGGCAGTGTGGGTGCCGGTGATCCGTGATTAAATCATCTCGCAGCCTTAGGATGGGCTGGGATTCCCTGTTCCTGGCACTGAACAAGTGCTGGACAAAACAGAGCTGCTCTGAAGAGTTTGTGACCAAGACAAATTGCTGGCACAGAAAATTTGCCAGTTAATTGCGTGTTTGGAAACGGGAGCAGTGTGTGAGGGTGTCTCCTGATGGCACCTTTGGTGAGGATGGGCTTATTTAAGCATCCAGAAACCTCTAAGGCAGCTAGGTCTGAGTTGGGTCAGAGTGGATCCACAGGAACTAGTCAGCTGTGGGCTTGAAGCAGCCCAGAACCAACCGCACCAGCTCTGCCCATCTCCATGGGTGGGTTTTGAGTGTCTCCCCCATGGGAGAAGCCCAGGAGATGCCTCCTTTCCAAGAGCATCTTGGCTGGTGGGAAACAGTCTAGATTGAGCGCTCTTACTTCTTGCAGTTCCTCTTGTTTCTTTTTTTTCTTTTAAAATAAAGACACCCCCCCCCCCCCCCCCCCCCAAGAAAGTAACTTAAAGACAGACATGTAAATAAATATTACAGGTAAACATCACTTAAAAGAGAGAACAGTTCCCACATCAGACCTACTGCAGTCTTCTTCTCACAGACTCTTGAGAGTCTTTCAGATCAAGTAATATTAGGGCAAAGTATTATAATCTGCTGAATAAGTCCAAAAACTTAATGCTTGTAGATGATAATTCTAAAGAAAATTATTTATTTCTCTTAACAAAATTTTAAGAGTTTGAACACAGTTCAATTATATTCTTTCTCCAAAAATCCAGAATTTTTACTTCCTTTTTCATATAAGGAAGGCCCCCCCTCCCAATGCTGGTGGAATCGCGTCACACCTCCCTCTCTGTGCTCCTCATGGACTTTTTGTCCTTTGTACTGATATGTGCCATGACTTGAGAGAGTTGCTCATGAGAATTGCTCATGAAAGAGGTCAAGAAGCCAGAAAATTGGCATTAGAAAAAATTTTTAAGAAAAAGGGACAGAAGGGGAAAATTGGGCATGGCAGATACACCCAGAATGGAAAAGGTAGGCAAAAAAAGAGCTAAATAATAAATTTGTGTATTGGCCCCAGAAGGTGCCTTGCGGGCAGTTGGTGACGGTCAGGAAGAACTGTTGGAAGGCTGCATCACCACATCACAATGTCATTTATTTCCAGCAATTCACTCGCTCAACTCCAAATACAAATATGAAAAGGAGCATGAAATGAGTTACAGGTGTGACCCTTCGCAGAGTAACACTGGGGTTGGGTTCGGCCGTTGATCCCACCAGGGCACCAGCCAACACCTTTGTGTGACAAGGAGTGACATACGGCATCGGGACATGGACGTGCGTCAGGTTGGGAGCGTGATCCCCGCACAACGCCTTCCCAAAATGAATTTATATGTAAAGAAATTCTTGCTTATGTGGGGGGTGAATAACTTGGCAATCTCAGTTTTGCAAAGTTGAGGTTGGCTACCTGCTTCCCAAATGGGAGTCTTTTAATTTTTGGTAATATTTAGGTAAGGTTTGGTGTGGGGACTGGGTTAGTCCCGCAGATGGTGTTGAGGCAGAGTCGAGGTGGTGCCTTTAGCTTTGGTTTCTGCATTTTGGGGATTTCACGAGCAGCCGTCCAGGTGACCTGTATATTCAGTGGGTGTTTTTCACCTGGAATTACAGTTGCAGGAGCCGGGGACATTTCCCTGCCTTTGAGGAATGTGGTTCTTGGGGTGACCCGTGGGGGTGGGTGTGCAGAAGGCTCTTTAAGCTGAGGGGAAGAGCAGCGAACCCCATCTCTGGGGGATCTCAGAGAGCACCCACGCCCCAGCACCCCACAAGGTTTCTGTCCTGGCTCTACATTAAATCTCCTTCTTTTTTTTTCTTTTTTTTCCCTTTCCCCCCCCCTTTTTTTTTTGTACACACAGATCTAATCTTCTAGAAAATGCCCCGAAGGTTTGAGCAATCTACCAGTTGCAGGAACCCATAAAGCTTTTTTTTTTTTTTTTTCCCCATTGTGTAAGCATGACAAATCATTAATTTTTGATTGATTGCTTTGAATTATGGGTGCTCTGACATCCTTTCTGTAGCTGAACAGCTGTATAACAAATGAACATATCAGTACTCACAAAAGATTGGAGATCTAACAGAAGCAATTACATTGTCAGCTCCTCCCTTCTGGCTTTTCCCAGGCAATGGAGGGAGGAAATTTTTTAACAGAAATTCCTCAAGTGGCTAACAATAATAATAATAACAATAAAAAAAATTAACTTTTGGTAATTGAATTAGATTTTTATCTCTTCATTTCCAGTGGATTTCTTAAACCTTCAGAAGGCAGGACGTGTTTCGGCTTTGTGTAACTCAGAGAATCCCTTTGAACAAAATTTCACATGAAGAATTAAAAAAATAAAATCAAATTGCAATTTTTGGTTGCTATTCCTTTAAGATTTCAGAATTGCACCAGTGCACTAAATGTGACCTCCATAACTTTTAAATTAAGAATTTATGCTGGCTTGAAATTTATGAAATATTTCAGCATGAAAGAAAGCCTTTTTCCCTCAGGAAAATTGAGCAATAAATCACAGCACTCTCGATTTACTGCCCTACAGCCAGCCAAAGATAGGATTTTTTTTTTTTCCTTCCCCCCTTCGTTCTGAAAAAAAAAATATAAAAAAAAATGTAATCATATAAGACAGCTTAGCTGCTATCCTCCCACTCTCTAGAATTTTTAATTTCAGCTGTTTCTGCTTGGATTTATTTCCAATATTCCTGCTCGGCTTTTCAATTTCCTCAGTTATTAAATTTTAATTCAGTGCATTAGCATTTAAATTAAAAAAGGGTTTATTTTATCGAAATCGTTGGCTAGCCCCCATCCTGCTGCACATGAATTGCCTGTTTCTGCCATTTGCACAAAATGTGAAATGCAGCTAATATCTTTTAACTTGTATTTGCACAAATTCAGAAATAAAATTTCTGGGTTTGGAATAATATTGTCTTTCCAAGGAAGGCTCTCATCAGAAGAGGAGGCGAAAAGGAGGAGACCCTGGTTACTCCCTGCTAATGGCCCGGAGGGGCTCAATTAGGCAATTCGTTGCTAACGAAGGGAGGTGGGCTGGACCTGCCCCTCTGATCCAGAAGGACACAGCATTAAATTTGGCTATTTTTGTTTTATTTCCCTCTTGCAAATTGCATATTTTTGCATAGGAGAGGTCGTTACTTTAAACTTCAGTAACGCGCGATGAAATAATTGCCCGGGAGCAACTGGAGGGGGTCGGCTCCGAAAGTGGCCTCTGTGGTGGGGCTGGGGCTGAAGCCCTGCCTTGGGGCAGACCTTCAGGGCACGAGGTGTCCCACCAGCACGGGGCACGAGTGGGACTCAGAATGGAAAAACCCCAGGTATTTTGGTGCAGTGAGCTGGCGGGAGAGTTTGGAGGACATTGTTGCCTTTCTTCACCTAAACAGCCTTTTTTTTTCTTCATGTTTTTTGCCCCTGTAGGCCGACGAGAGCAACAGCAGTGGGCGGAGGAGCTCTTCCAGCAGGTAGGTGGATGGTTTTCTCTGCTGGGGTGGGACGTGGTGGGCAGATAGGGTGTGCTAGAATGGGGCTCTCTGTCTCGGAGGGGGACCACATGAGAGGGATGAGTTGGGAGCTGTTGGAGCACAGTGTCCACACACCCTTTTTGGATTTTGCTAAAAATATAGATGTTTGGGGCGGGGGGCAAGGAGAGGCAGTTTGCATGCAGTGTTGGGGGGTATGGCTAAGTCCCCTCAGCCCCATGCCCATGCAGGGGTGCAAAGACCATCACAAGGTGAAGTTCTTGGGTGGAGACCTTGGCCTGTGCTTCAGCTGTTGGGTGCGGATCCCCCTGCTCCCACACAAGAGGAGAAGATGAGGGTGTCCCCCCACCCCAACCCTCTCAGATCCCACCAAGGGGTATCCCTGCTGCTCTCACTCCGGTGGGTAAGGGCCATGTCAGGTTGCACAGAGGGGACTCTGCTGAAGGTGTCCTGTTTGCTGCCACCCCCGGAGCCTGGAGCAGTGGGCAGGGTGTCCAGGGCCATGGGCAGTCCCCTGGACAGTGTGTCCTGGCTGGAGACACACAGCCCTGGCGTGAGGAGATGGAGGAAAACCCAGCATAGAGGAGATGGAGGTGATGAGGTTGGGTCTGCCCTGTGCTGGGGCCTCTCCATCTCCTCCTGATGCCCAGGAAGAGGGCTGCCCAGGGAAGTGGTTGAGGCACCCTCCCTGGAGGTGTTCAAAAGATGGGGTGACATGGTCCTCAGGAATATTGTTTAGTGGTATGTTTTTGTGTTTTGTTTTGTGTTGTGGGTTTTTGTTTTTTTGGTTTTTTGGGGTTTTTTGGGGTCAGAGTTTGGTTGATGGTTGGACTAGATGATCTTTAATGTCCCTTCCAACCTAGATGATTCTATGATTCCCTGCTTTAGGGCATCTGACCTGGCTGGGTGTGCTGGGATGCGCTAAAGATGGTGCTTCTTGGTCCCTTTCCTTCTCTGTCAGGTGGAGTCAGTGCAGAGCTGTGACAGCACGGAGGAAGGGGTAGCTTTCCTTCCTTGGCCAGACACAGATTCCCCGTAGCTGGGTTTCCTTTGCAGGGCAGTGCTGGGCACTGGGGAGGTGGTGGGAGCCCAGAACAAAGTGTGGCTTTGGTGACAGTAGCATTTACCTGGTGCTCGAAGCCCATTCCTGGTTGTCTGCCATCCACAAGCCAAGTGACAAACTCACCTCCCAGGTAAAAATAGGTGGAGATGTAGGAGATAAAGATGCCAGTCTGGGAACAGGAGAAATGCTGAAGATGCACCAGGGAGGGGAGCGACTTGGGGCTGGGCTGCAGCCGAGCGTGGAAGCATCCACTGAGAGTTGTAGAAGATGGTTGGAAAGTCAAGGAGGTGCCACCACGTGGTGGTACAATGCACAGATCGTTGAGAGGACCGCTGAGCACCTGATGCACGTTTGTGGGTTACATCAGCATGGACAGAGGACAGCAGAAAACCAGAGCCAGTTTGGCTGCTGTGGAAAAAAGGTCCGTGGGGGCTTCACCACGTCCTGGCATCATCTCCATCACTCCATGTCGGTGTCATCTGTGTGGAGTGAGCCCACCACCAGTGCACCAGACGGGGTTTGCCAGTCACCACTGCTGGGCTCGGTACCTCTGCCCTGGCTAGGACAGGCCACCAGTGTGTTGGGGGGCCACCAGTGTGTTGGGGGGCCACCAGTGCGTTGGGGAGTGGACCCCGGTGGGACATGGGGTGTTTCTCTGGGCACCCACTGCGAAGCAGGGACCTCCAGCGCTGCCACCTCCTGCAGAGCTCCAGCTGCCTTTCTGTCCTCCCCGTCACACTCCAGTGATACTGTCTTTCCGCTGCCAGAGCACTCTCCTCATCCCTCTGGAGGCTTGAAAGTGCTCGATCCCTCAGGTGAAACACATCCTTCCACATGAGAACCCTGCCACCAAACATGCACCAAGTGCTCCCCATGGTGACAGGTCCCTGCCCGGTGTCCCGGCTCTGCTCCTGGTGTTTCAGAGTGAAATGCCCTCGTTACCAGCAGCTTTTCGGTACGGATTGGATGGCTCTGGGGTGCCCACTGGGCTGGGCTTGGCTTGGCAGGGATGGAAGGATGGGAGGCAGGTTGCAGGAGCAGAACCATCATCAAGTGTCCTACGTGGAGGAAAAGGTCTTTTTTCCCAGTTTTGGAATGGCCCGTCACTGTGGTTCAGCAAGTGCAGGCTCTCGAGATGCTGGGAATTAGCCTGCACAAAGCACTGGAAGGAAAGCAACCTAGTCTGAGGAGCAAGGGCATAGTTTTCTTCCCCCAAACTCTTTATTCTGGCTTTTAACTCAGTGTTGTGGCTCTCACTGGAAGGTTTTGCAGAACAGGTGGGTGAGCGTGGTCTCCAGGTGGGAGCTGACCCTTCAGGGTGTCCCCTGTGGGTGCTGTCCCTTCCCAGGGTGCGGGTTGTGCCCTCGGGGTGAGCACCTGAGCATCCTCCTGGTCTTCCAGAGGGGACCTGAGCACCCGTCGGGCAGCGGAGCTTCCCCTGGTTGTCACTGTCACCTTGTGCCAAGGGTGAGACTGGGCATCGGTTTTTCTTTAAGAAAAGTGGCACCAAAGTCCACTTCAGCATCTACCTGATTGGACAAGAGATGGTCAGAAGAAGGGAAATGAGCGAGTCTGTTTAAAAAAAAAAAAAAGGAATAAAAATTTAATATTTCGAGAAAGCTCTGTGACTGAAGGTCAAAATTTGGCTTTTGCGAAATCTGTGAGGCTGGAGACACAAGGTGGATGTTTTTCAAAGTTGTTGCTGCTTGAAACTCTCACTAATTGCAAACTACTGAGGAAGCTTTTAACGATTAATTTATATCAGTGAAAAATATAAGCAGAAGGTTGCTGGGACAACTCTATCTTTTCTGCAACTTTTTTTTTTTTAACTAGAGCAAGCTCGGTCTTAATGTGGTGACCGTGGTATTGGGTCGATACTATTTTTATTTATTTATTGTATTGAATTGATTTTATTCTGTTTCAAGTAAATGTTAAAAGCTCTGAAGGCGCAGGATTTTTATGATCTTATCAACCCACAGCTCTGCTCGGGCCTCTCCGCTGCCTTTGAAATAACAGGGTTCAGCCTGTGCAGCTCTTGCAGCGGAGAATTAGCGGTGGCAGAAAGCACTCGCTCTTCTCCTGCCTTGTTAGCTCCTGTGGGGTTCCTCTACCTCACCCTACGCTTATTAATGGGAAATTTGAAAAAGTGAAGAGAGACTTATTAGGAGCATAGAAAAAGCCCCCTTCCTTAAAGGGAGCTGGAAGAGAGATGGCTGTTTGCCTGGGAGAAGATGACAACCAAGAGACAACACGACAAAGCTGTGCGTGTTTTTGAACGCTCCAGAAAAGGTAGATCAGAGGCTGCTTTCTTCCTTTTGCAAGGGAAAAAAAAAAAAAAAAAAGAAAAAAAAAGAGACAGTCAACCAAATTAAAAGGCAGCAAATTAAAAGCCAATCAAAGGCAGGATGTTTTGGTGTGTGATGGGCAGTTAGCTCTTGGAGTGCGTCGGCAGGAGTCGGGCGCTGGAGGGGGGCTCACAGGGGACTCAACTGGAAGGTGGCACCAGTGGGTGACGTGGGTTCCTGGGGATGTGACACGTCTCCTGGGGATCCCTTTCCCTGCTGCTCCCCAACGGAAGGGTTCTTGAAGCTTCTTCTGAAGCCCCTTTGTGCGCGTTGTGGAGCAGATGATGGTGGAGCCCCAGTGACAGTCCTGGAGGGACCGGAGGGGAGTGTGGGAACGGCGCTGGGAGCTGCCGACCTCGGGGTAATCCCTGGGAGTCTGCGTGACGCTATTGTAAAACTAACTACTTACCAATAATTAATTTTCCTTTTGCAAGGGAAAAAAAAAAAAAAAAAGAGACAGTCAACCAAATTAAAAGGCAGCAAATTAAAAGCCAATCAAAGGCAGGATGTTTTGGTGTGTGATGGGCAGTTAGCTCTTGGAGTGCGTCGCCAGGAGTCGGGCGCTGGAGGGGGGCTCACAGGGGACTCAACTGGAAGGTGGCACCAGTGGGTGACGTGGGTTCCTGGGGATGTGACACGTCTCCTGGGGATCCCTTTCCCTGCTGCTCCCCAACGGAAGGGTTCTTGAAGCTTCTTCTGAAGCCCCTTTCTGATGGTGGAGCCCCAGTGACAGTCCTGGAGGGACCGGAGGGGAGTGTGGGAACGGCGCTGGGAGCTGCCGACCTCGGGGTAATCCCTGGGAGTCTGCGTGACGCTATTGTAAAACTAACTACTTACCAATAATTAATGTCAGCATTCAGATGGTGGGCTCTGGATCTCAACAAGAAATAATTGAAAAACCAAATGTGCAATTATGTCTGACAAGCAGCGTGTGCTTTTCTTGGTCACCAGAGCCTTGTGTAGTCATGTGTTAGACACGGTTTTATATAATTATTATTGTTTATATGGTGGGTGTCAGAGGAAGGAAGAATTTTAGTTTCAAGTCCTCCGTTGGCTATTTATTTTAAAGTCATTAGATTTGTTTTCAGACTTAACTGCGCTTAATGTGCGAGACTCCTGCTGAATAAATCAGACCCTGATATAGGAACTGCATCTGTTTGCGGAGGGAACGGAGCCAGCTGGAAGCTCAGCCCCCGTCTGCACCAGGGCTGTCACCAGCCGGGGAACCCGCTCGCAGCACAGATGTAGCTCCACTAAAGCATGTTCTGCTCCCAAAACGGAGGTAAAATCCCAGAGCTGCTGGGGTTATGAGCTGGCTGTGAGGGCAAGGATGGGTCTTATCTTTATTGCAGCGTTAACAGCCCTGTGGTAGAGCTCCTGAAGAGGGTGGGAGGTCTCTTGGAGAGGGTGGTCCGGCAGAAGGGCTGGCCTGGAGGAAGCAGGGTGTTGTGCCAGGCAGGAGTCTTTCCAGAAGGTCCTTTAGGTTGGGGCATGGAGGTCTCCCAGCTCTGACATGATGCCGTTTTCCCTGGAATGCCAGACCAAGCCATGGTGCTGAGGTAGTCTGGGCATTT